TAACAATAATTAAATATTAAAAGGTGTAACCTTCCTTTTCAATTTCCTCTTAATTGAAGAACATCTAACTTTCAATATTTGAACAGAATTATATGTGAAATTGTAATAATCAGAAGGTTATCAATTAATTCATTTTTTTTCTCCTTATAATTAACAATAATTAAATATTAAAAGGTGTAACTTATCTTTTCAATTTCCTCTTAATTGAAGAACATCTAACTTTCAATATTTGAACAGAATTATATGTGAATTTATAATAATCAAAAAATTATTAATTGATTTTTCTTCAACAATCGATACTGTCAAAAACCCTATTAATAGGCTTTCAATAGATAAAGTATTAATACGAACAACTTCCGTTCATGAAGTTCTTCGATATTTCTAATGGTTCCGGAGAAAAAGAAAATTTTTTAAATCTTCATTTTCTTTTTTTAGCTACTCGGTATTTTTAAATTTTACAAGTAGAACGAAGAAATTCACGAAATGTTAAAACTTCTTATTTTTTGTAATTTTATTCCACGTGTCGAGTTATAAGCACCTCGCCATATACAAGATCCGTTTCAACGCCGGAATTAAAAGCAAGCAGAATAAATTTCTCATCAACAGTTCGCGATTAACGCTGCTTTCTTTATTCGAAAATTCGTCGGGATGAAAGTTTGATCGATCTTCCGCAAACGAGTCTCCTTCCTTTTCGACAAGTTCTCGGTTCAGCACCGAAATAGCGTCGCGGCGCCGTTTGAAAATCTAACATCAATCATACCGTTCGTTTACGAGCGACGTTTCATCTCTTGATACTCAAAAACGTGAGAAATTATTACATTTCAAAATGTATATCTTTCGAATCATTCAACTTTAAGTACTTCAGATCTCTCTTTTTATAACACTCTTGAAAAATCTTTAACGAAAATTTGTTAAAATAAGCAAAGTAACGAACAGGAAGGATCGCGTAAACTCTCCGAAACTTCGCAGGATCGGGGCTCACAAATTTTCATCCCCTTCCCGGTCGGCCTCCCCAATTAGCCTTGTCAAAAACACGCGTCGAAGCTTTCCCAACGAGGCGGGCGGGTTCGCATGGCTGACAAGGAAAATGAAATTTCCCAGTGGCGAGGGAAGGAAAACGGAAAAACACCGAGGGCCGACGGAATTGCGTCCGAGAAATGAGGCCCGCGGTAACAGACATCCCTCGTCGTTCTATATTTCAAGGGGTGCAGCCATGTTTCGACTGGTCAGAACTCGGCGAAGTCATTTCGAGGCTGTTCCAGTGCAATAAAAAGGGGGGTTGGTAATAAAGGCCAGTGGCGCGGTTAACTGAGGGAGGAAAAAAACGAAAGAATCTGTTTTTTCGCCGTGGGTGCAATGGAACGTCTCCATGGTCCGCGCTCGAGCGGCGGGACAGTTGACGAATACGCGTGCAATTTGATCTAGCGTTTCCTTTTTCGCGACAATGTTTTCTACCAGAGGGATTCATCATCGAAGTTGGTGCTCTTGAAATTGCTTCCCCCCTCCCCCTCTTTTTCTTTAGTTTAAATGAGAGTCTGGACAGGAAGAAGTCCTGGCTTTATTAAACCGAGTCCTTTTTGCCGGATGTTCAGTGGTGTTTGTGGTGTTACTTTCGTAGTTGATGAAGAAGGAGCGATTAATTTACTGGATAAAATTTTCTTCTAATATTAAGTAATGTTTATAGGACTTTTGTTTATAATTGAGAAAGGCGATGGGGTTGGTTTCTGAAGTTAAACTTTTATTTATTAATTTTCTTGTTTCTGGTTTTCTTGAAATGATTGACCAGGGCTTTTTCAACCTAATTTCACAATTAGACTTCTAATTTGCATGTTTTTTTTCCATACAAAAATTGAGAATAATCGAGGAGGGTGCAATTAGGCTTGTAATCCCTTTTTGCATTTATTTTCTCAATTACTGCTCTATTCAGCACAATCTACTTAACTCCCTATTTGCTAATTAATACTTTTTTCTTCCAATTATTCGCGGTAATTAATGGATACAGTACACCGTGTTCATGACACGTGTTTTCCTTTTTAGTTTAATCTTCACTGATACTTATACCGAGGAAACTAAAAAGCAGAACTTATTTTCGCGTTTCTGAAGTCAATTTTCTTTTGTTTGTTGACATTAAAACTGTTTTTAATGGTTGGAAAATAGGACTGTTTATTATCTTGTTTTAATAAAAGGCTTTAATAAAGCAAAACATGGCACGATGATTATTTTCATTTCAATGTAGCTGAAAATTTACGAGGGAGTAGTATATTGTTTTTTAAAATTTGAAAATCGCGTCTCAAGTAAGGATCGATGGGTGATTAATTTTTTTGAAAGTGCATTTCTTTTATTTTTCAATTTAATTTTTCCCTTTCTATCTTAATTTAAAATTTTTCAAAATTGTTCCTTCAGCAATTTAAAGCCAGAAACCTAAACCTACGTTTCGACAGGTCTGTTTGGTCCGATATTGGAAAAGATAATAAAACTTGTCTACTTTTCCCACGGTTTTACGAGAAAGAAACGAGCGCAGGGGGAGAAAAATGTGAACGCTCGATGTATCCCCGAAAATTGGAAAACAAATTTCCAAAGGAAAATTGCATTCTTTGTGAATGAAACGAAAGGGAAGACGTATGTGCATTCCTAAAGCCACACCATTCGTAATCCAAACAGCTGGGTATTAATAGGCAGAAAAGAAAACAGTGAAAATTTTCAGCGACCGATGTCTGACAATCGTCGAACAGCTGACACGCGGTCAGTCTGAAAATAAATTTTTTCTTCTTGCGGATTTTTGCTTTACTTCCAAGCCAATGTATTGTTTTATCAACCGATTATCCATTTAAAAAAATCGTATAATAATTACAAATATAAACAAAATATTTAAACAGATTTTCTTAAAAATTGATTAATTTTATTCATTATTTTAATAGAAATTAAAATCAATTTATATTTTTGAAAAGATTCGTAATTTTTCTTCTTTCAAGTTTCTTTTCTGAAAACTTAGATACTTTGATGGGTTATAAATATTATTCTTCTTTGATTAACAAGTTAAAAGCTGAGCTTGTTCAAATATACATTCTTTCATGTCTTCGAACCTCGCTTTTAAATCAGTCTAAAAATTACATAATTTATTACCTACAGAGTATTCCGTATATATTTAAAGTAAATTACTTCCTGGAGGAAACTTATTCAATTTCTGAAAAATGGTTGGAGAAACCATTACTTCCATTACTTCAAATTACCTAAATATTTATAAAGTAGTTGGTTTCTGAAATTTGTCTTCTATTTAAAAATTGAATCATTCTACAGATTATTAACCTTTTGATGATTCTACAATTTTTAGAAGTATCTACTTACGTTGAAAATATTTGTGCTTTGAATAAGAATTTTTAAAAACAAGTTCAGAATGATTTTGGAGATAAAACTTGGTCGTGGCACAATTTTTACACTCACTGTCTTTCTGTCCCGGCTGTCAATCTCTATAACGAGTTGAATCTCGATCGTTCCGCGTCGTAAATACGAACCATATGATTGCCTGCCGTCTCTGAATCATCGTCGCAGAAAATATCCTCGGCCCAAAGGAACCGCGTCCGTGTTTTCCACCTTTGGAAGAACCGACTACCATCGATCAGTATCTTCTCAATTTCTCTCCTTCTTCGTAAGAATTTTTCACTCGAACGATCGTAAAGAAAACTTCATTCGCGTGTGTTAACTTCAGAAGAGTAACTTCGAATTTTCCATCTTTACAATTTCTTGAAATTTTCTACCTTCTTCTTAAGAATTTTCTGCTCGAACCACCATAAAGAAAACTTTATTCGCGTCTGTTAACTTTCGTTTTTTCACCTTTAAATTTTAAGAAATTTTCCACCTTTATAAAAATTTTTCATTGAACTTAGTTCAACTAAGTTTCAACTAAGATTGTCCACAATTTCCCGAAATTTTCCACCTTATTCATAAGAATTTTCTACTCGAACCACCATAAAGAAAACTTTATTCACATCTATTAATTTTGAATTTTTCACCTTATAAATTTTAAGAAATTTTCCACCTTCTTTATACAAATTTTTAATTAAACTTAGGATTGTCCACAATTTCCCGAAATTTTCCACCTTATTCATAAGAATTTTCCACTCGAACCACCATAAAGAAAATTTCATTCAAATTTCGAATTTTCCACTTTTCAAATTTCCCGAAATTTTGCGTGTTAACTTTAGAAGGTCAACTTTGGATTTTCCACCTTCACAATTTCCCAAAATTTTCCACCTTTTCCCGAGCATTTTCCACTCTAATCACCACAAAGAAAACTTCACTTGCGCATGTTAACTCCGGATTTCCCACCTTCACGATTTTCCCAAATTTTCCACCTTCATAAGAATTTTCCACTCAAACCACCATTAGAAAAAAAATTGTTTCGCGTGTTAATTTCAGAAGGTTAACTTCGCATTTTCCACCTTCCCAATTTCCCCAAATTTTCCACCTACATAAGAATTTTCCACTCAAATCCTCACAAGAGAAAACTCGATTCTCACATGTTAATTTCAGAATTTTCTGAAATTTTCCACCTTCATAAAATTTCCCACTAGAAACACCACAAGGAAAAACTCGTGTAAAGAGCAACGAAGACCTGGTGGATGAAAAGAGAAAGGGTTGCACCAGGGAAAGCCGGTGTTTCCTTCCTGAGTAACGCGACAAGACGGTCGTCACACGCGACACACATTCACCAAATGACAAAAGAAAGAAATGGAAGGTGAAGAAAAAAGAACGAATGAACCAACAACAATGCCTTTTTCATCCTTCTTTTACTAGCACCTCACTAACGACTGGGGGCACGCTGGCCAACCTTTTCGCTCGTTTTTTTTTTATCTCTCCACGGGTTGTTCCCTCGTCGAACACCCGTCCCACCCACTGCTCCACTCTCCACGTCCCTCTTCTAACCCCTTTTTCTTTTTAGACCGTTGTTTCTTTTTCACGCTGGCACAGGAAGGCAGGAAGCTTCTTCGCGCTCGACGTACCTTTTTCTTTCTCACCGGCACGAGCCCTTTTTCTCTCCCTCCTCTTCCTCCTCTTCCTCCTGTCTCCGTTGGCTTTCCTTTTCCTCGCGGCCACGGCCGTGCGGAATTCGAACCAGGGTTCGATTTGGCGGCACCCGGTTTGAGCTGGTCGGCATAACTGCGTTCGAGTAGACCACTCGCTCCCGGACTTGTGGCCTCTCTCCTTTTCCATCGTTCCTTCCTCGCCTCCACACAAAATAGTCTTCTTCGTCGCTCCTCCCTCTCTTTTCCTCGCGTTACACGAGCCTTCTCTATCTTGGCCGCGTTCAAAGCTCCGTGCCTGTCGGCCAGCGCTGGCTTCGAGACGCCGAGCGTCTCCGAGCGTCTCGGTGCTCCTTAAAAGAACTTGGGCGTTCGAATCTTCAAAAATTTCAAGTTAAGTAGATTGCATCTGATGGGAAGGAGAAAGTTGCTCGCAGACAGGTGGATTTTAGAATTTTTAGAAAATTTAGTTTTGAAATGATTGAAATTTTAGTGAAATGGCGAGATATTTTAGGTGCTATTTGGAAACTCGAATAGTACATCTGTTACCTCCAATTTTACAAATGGGAAAAGTTGTATAAAGCAAAAGCTACTCCATCATCAGCTGTCTTCCTTATAATTCTAGATACCTGATGTAACATCAGAATGCATTCAGTTTTGCCGAAATAAAAGGGGAATGTAATACTACGTTCAACGATATTAAACTTTTATAGAGCAACAGGTGCTTTATCATCAGCTGTCATTCTTACAATTTGAGGAATTTTTGTTAGACAGGACGTTAGAGGCTTTTTATTTAATTTTTCTGAAATGGGAAATATAATATTAATCTTAGGAAGAGCGGGATTTATTTCTAATGCTATTTTTAGTGATATTTTTACTAAATTAAAATCACTTCTTCAGTGCTAATTTTGAAGGCATTAGGGATAATAAATTATTTTTTAAACAATTTTTCAATTGTTGATTTTCTTTAGTCTTGCTAGGATTAGATAATAACCATTCTACTTCATAATTACAGTTATTACTTGTCTGACTATATATGGATATTTTCACTGTGCCACTGAAAGTGTTAGCCCTTAAACGGCGGACCATGGGGAGAGCCTCAATTTCCCTGGAAATCATTATTTTTTCAATAAAACTTTTGATGAGAATTAATTATTGTTTAACAATTTCTTAGATGAAAAGAATAAAGTATTTTTCAATTGGTGATCCTTCCTTTAGTCTTTCTAGAATTAAATAATAGCCACTCTACTTCATAATTACAATTGAAACGTGTCTGACTATATATGTATATTTTCACTGTGACACTGATTATATTAACCCTTATACGACGGACCATGGAGAGAGCCCCAATATTAATTTCCCTAGAAATGATTATCCTCTAAAAATTATTCTTCCAAAATATGAAACTCTTTCATTTAAAAAGAATACATTTAATTCTAGGTCAATATTCTTGTTTTATAAATTTAAATCTCGATTCACCCAGACAGCTGTTCAAGGGTTAAATAACATTTTACTACGCGACGGTTCAATAAACGTTTATCATAAAAGAAAACGCGGTATCACGTCAACATAAAACACATTTATATCCACTTGCAACATAAAATCTTTTTAAACCCCCGAATCCGAGTGTTGAAGTATTTTTCACTGGCAATTGAATTAGTCCCATCGCTATCTTCACCCTGATCTTTTCCTCGGTGTCTGGCCTTGTTCTTCTCACAGGGACGTTTTCCCTCCTCCAACACCTTCCCCTCGTTTCGTTTTTCTCTTTCGTAAACATTTCACGTTGGTGGATCCCGATTTTCTCCTCCACTTTTTCTTCCACCCCTCTCCGTCGTTGTTTCTCCCCACCCATCACGCGATTTGCTCTTTCTCTTTCAGTCACCCATCCCGGCCACCCCTCTTCCCTTGGAGCACGCATTCGTACACGTAGCGTGCTATCTCACCGATCTAAAATTACCCCAGAAACGAAGAACGGACGCGAATTACGTTGTCCCTCTTCAGCTCGTGATCCACTCTCTCTCTTGCACGCGCGAGTTTCCCTATCAGGTGGATGATCGCTTCGGAAGGTCGACGTTTCGATTTTTCATCGCAACCTTGATGATAGTTAAACGATCTAGAGAAACATCGTTTTTCTCATTGCTGATTTTGGGACAGGAAGGTTAACCTACTTGTGGAGCTATTTAAGTGACACGTGGGTCAATTTTGGACTAACGCCGGTTCCTTGAGGATTAGAGAGGGACGGTCTTAGATAATCTAGCGAGTCTTTGATGGTGGCGGGTGAATGAAAAGAAATGGATTTTGTTCGATCTGGCAGGTGGAACAGTTGTCGATCTTTTTAGGTTTTGAGATTTTTTTTTATTTTGTTAATCTGGTAGTCATCACCGGAATCACTGGGTCAATAGTTAATCCTTTAACTGCGGGTACTTTTAGCACAGCCGATCGCTCTAATTTTAAATTATACTACTGAAGTGATATTCTAATTTAAAGGATTTTTTTTTTATTGTATTTATTTTATTTTTATTTTAATATATAAACCACAGCCGCTATTTGATATTAGTAAGTGGTTTATATAAAACACACCCACAGTTAAAGGGTTAATTCAACACATTACTAAAAATATAATAATTTCAGTAATTTTCAAACGTGTTATCAGTAACTAATATCATAAATTATAAAATAATACATTTTCAGCTTAGAATATTTGACAAAAAATTTTCTATTGAAAATTTTCTACTTAGAACACCGATTATTTAGAGAATTTGATAAGTCTTTGATGCTGGCATGTGAATGAAGAGAGAAATGGATTTTGTTCCATCTGGCAGGTGGAACAACTGAGGTTAATCTTTTTAGGCTTTGTGACTTTTTTTTATTTTGTTAACTTGGTAGCCATCACCGGAATCATTGGATCAATAATTAATCTAACACGTTACCAAAAATGTGATTATTTAATTTTTCATTTTAAACCTTCAGTGATTTTCAAAGGTGTTATTTGTAATTAACATAAACAATTATAAGGTAATAAATTTTCAGCTTAGAATATACCTTTTATTTATCATAAAATTCTCTGTTGAAAGTTTTCCACTTAGGAGAACACGGTATAGTAAAAGCTGATAAATTGAATAAGGAGGTGTGTAATATATTAATTAAGAGGCAATAACGTGGCAATTTAGTTCTCTAAGGGGTGATTTTCCAACTAAAAGTGTCGTAAATGTAGCGGTCAAGTTACGGTTAAGGTGAACGAAACAGCGAGCGCGGTATGTAAATTCCTGCAACACATTTCACGCGCCATAAACTTATGAATGAACTGGACGTACAGTTGTCTGATTCTATGCGTCGGATGCGTTCGTTGGACGAAATTGATCCATAAACATGTTAGCCGGGAATTTCGAGTGATTATAATTGCATGATACGGGCTACCGTGAATGATGGCTCAATGAAACGCGGATTCGACGATGGAAACACTCTGAAATCTAATCATTTCTAACACATCGAGCTCGTGAAAGATGTTAATTTTCAGCATAAAATTACAGTATTTATTTCAAATAAAATATCTAAAAGCAAATGCAAGTCCTGATCTATGACATAAATAAAAATAAATATAACAAAGTTATTAGACATTCCCCATTAGATAATTTTATACTATAAAATTATAGTAATTAATTCAAACATAATATCTAAAAGAAATGCAAATTCTGATCTATGACATAAATATAAATAAATATAACAAAGTCATTAGATATTCCCCATTAGATAATTTTATACTACAAAATTATAGTAATTATTTCAAATATAATGCCTAAAAGAAATGCAAATCCTAATTTTTAACACAGATAAAAATAAATAAAGCAAAGTAAAATTGTTAGACATTCCCCCTGAAAGCGCGGACCATATAGAGAGTCCCAAGGTAACGAACCATCTAGAGAGCCACAAATTCATTTTATTTTATTTAAAACATATACATATACTTCCAATAACTTGATATATTAATTACTAGAATTGAAAACGTCGAATTACCTCGTTCTTTCAAATAATTCCACTTAATCCCCAAAGTTTGAAAGATGGACACGAGGTCACTCGAGAAGAAGTCTCGAAAATCTGTTGAAACGGTAACGATTTCCAATTTCGTCGCGGGGAATCTAACGACACTCGTGTACAAGCTTCAAGAATAAATTCATCGAATTTGAACGCACCTGTTCGCCGTGTCGTCTACCTTTGTCTCGCCCCTCGACCGCTTCGTCGATCGTCCGATTCCGATGAAGTTTGGACGACGTTCACGAGCACTCGGTGGCGATCCGCACGCGGGTCCACATGCCACTGGGTGGCCTACATCCCAAGTTAAATCCACGCCGTGTTCCAGTCTATTATAAATTGGACCGGCGGACGCATAAGTGCCACGAGCGGGATAGCGGAGGTTGAGAACGCTTTATTTCCCTCTTCGCGCGATGCTCGTCCGATTACTTCATCGCGGAGATCGTTGATCGACTATGGCGATTATGGTGATTTGCTTTGAAATGATTTATCTGAGTAGATTTATCTGAAGGAAAATAGTCACGAATTGGAGACGATTAGGATTTATCAAAATTTTAACTCTGAAGGTATTTATACTAAGAATAGTAATTGAACGTTAAGGGAACTATCTTGGCAGCTGATCACTGATTCAAATCTCAGAGTGTAAATAGCAGCTGTATTTCCGTAGAAATGCAATATTGGCCGGCTTTTAATATTCCCAGCTGGCTCGAAACGAAAGAACGTCTGAGGATTCACGTACGATTTCCAGGTGGCAGTTCTATCGGTTTTTCGCGGTCGACCACCTATATTGATCGGTCGTCACTTTGGAATTGCTATGACATCCATGGAAATATTAAACGAGACACCTTTGGGACGCTAGGAAATTTCATGCGACTTCAATATCTCAAATTCCTCTATAAAATTCTGTCATAAAGTACCGTGAAATATATCAGAATTGGATATGAAATAACTTTCGTGGGATTCTTTTGAAATTTTCTCAAAAATTTAGCCACAGTATAACGAAAGTTAACAATTATAATTTCAATTTGCCAATTTAAATTTGGTTCTATTGTTTCACCCTTCGGACGGCGGACCATGGAGAGAACCCCAACTTTAATTCAACTTGCCAGACTCTGTTATTTAAAGCTTAGTGCCACCTTATTTTTATTTATTATCAATGATCACTTTAAAAAAAGATATATTTTTTTATATAGAGAGGAGATTATGAAGAATTAAGTAGTGAACAAA